AATGACTCTTTACTGATTTTTCCTTATTTATATTGGTTAAAATTTGGAGTAGTTCATCATTAATTCATTATTAAATTGCTATGGTGGTTTCATATTTGGTTTCGTTGTACAAGACAACTACAATGTTTCATGTTGAGTTAGTGCCCAATGTTCTTGATCATGTTAGTACATGTAATTACTTAACAATCACGATAACTTCTAACATTTTATGTTATCTTTCATGAAGTTGTGCTCATGTTAGTTTTCAGATTAACATATTAGCTTTTCATAACTTTTATCCTTAATTTTGTGGGTTTACATGGTAATGGGGACCTGGATATTTTTTCAGATTGTCTCCCATCATATCAGTAAAGCGCTTGAAAGAGAAGATGAAATAGAGAAGTTAACCATTGATCAACAAATTCAATTTTGGAGGAATACGATCAAATTAAATTGGAAATTGCTCCATGCCACAAAGCGTAGTAAGCGCCTTCAATGGGATGCTTACTTTAAGAAGATACATAGGCTGAACAGAAAATTGGAGAAGTACGAAGGAACTGCTGACCTGGTTGATCCTGATAACTTGAAGAAAAATGTGGAGGCTATTATGTCCAAGAGGAAAAGTAGCGTTGATAGCACTGTCAAGGGTGACGATGTCGATTGCTTCAATTATGATGATGTGTGCAATATTGGTAAGAAGCCTCTCATATTATGGAGGATGTAGCGCAATCAGAGCAGGAGGTAGATAAAATTGACTAAGACGAGGATGAAGAGAAGGGAAGGGAAGATAAAGAGGAAGAGATGGAAGAGAGAGAGCAGGAGCAGAAAGTGGAAGATAAAGAGGAGGATGAGAAAGCAGAAGATAGAGAGGAGGAGCTGTTTGAGGAAGATAAAGAGCAGGAGAAGAAAGAAGAAGATACAGATATAGATAAGAATGAGGAAGATAGATAGGAGTATTTTGAAGAGGAAGATAGCGAGTAGGAGATGAAAGTAGATGAGAAAGAGGTAGAGATAGAACAGGACATGATTATGGAAGAGAAGGAAGAAGAGAAGAGAAGTGCAGAGAAAGTGGTCGAGATGAGAGTGGATGAGAAAGAGAAGGAAGAAGAGATGAGAAGTGCAGAGAAAGTGGTGGAGATGAGAGTGGAAGAGAAAGACTTGCTACAAGTTTATCAAAAGAGATTGAAGAAAGTTGTTTCCAAGGGGACAAGGGGACCAAGTACCAGAATCAGGACGCGTTCTCAGCTAGTCCGAACCTTTCACCGAAGAAAAGAAGAAGGTAGCCCATCCAGAGATAATTACAATTTCACACACAAGGAGGATGATAGGAAAAAAAATCAGGTACTACTGCAAGCATGATGAATGCACTTGGGATTTTCAAAAGAACAGGAAAATCAAGAAGAAGGAAGAGGCTCTGATGAAGTTGCTGAACGAGGGTATTCCTGTTGTTGATGATTTTAGCATACGCTTAGTTGATAGTGAAGGAACCTTTGTTCACAACTTTAGAATACCCCACCATGTAGCGGCAAAGCTCACACTAGAGGAGAACAGATGGGTCTCAGAGTTTTGTAATCAGAAAGCTCATCGGTAAGTTTAATTCATGTGAACTAATGATGATAGAATTATGTTAACTTATGCCCATTTATGTTAACCTTTGCTAGACCATGTTATTGTTCACTGTTATATGTCAACGTTTCCGGAATATATGTTAACTTTTGACCATCTATGTTAACCTTTGCTAGTTCGATAATGTTATTGATGATTTTACATGTAAACTTTTGACCATGCAAGTTAACTTCTGGCCATTTATGTTCACTATTATATGTTATTTTAATTTATGTTAACCTTTGCATGGACATCCTGCTGTTACATGTGCACGTATCGATAACAACTGTTAATGTTTGTATCTTTCTGTCATATATCAGGTCATGTATTGTTGTTAATACGTCAAACAATAGCATCGATTCTTTGGAGCTTCTCAATCTACTACGAGGAGGACGTATTGATGACCATGCAAGTTTAATTGCCTCACTATATGCATTTCTGTCTTTTACAAGTGTTGTGCTGTAGCACAATTTAATGTGTATCTTATGTATGTCATATTTATAGGTCATGGAAGCTTTAATCGATAGAATTAACACATGGCTAGATAAGCCAGAAATTGTTCCAATGAGCCATAATTATTGGGTTATATCAGTCTTTTTCTGCTTAGGTTATTAATTTTCTGCTACTAAGTTTCTTTAGCAGTTATTTACTACTGGTATAACATTATATTCTTGGCAATACAACACACCCTTTATGCAAACACTCCTGATTTCCCACATGTCTATACTTCATTTATACAAAAGCATGTTGCTGCGAGGAAGAATATACTCCTTATCCCGCTTGTGCGTCAGGACCATTGGCATGTTGCTGAAGTCAGGTTGGATGAGGACGTTATTAAGCATTACCGCTCAGCTACCCATGATGCATGGCTCGAACCAGTGAATAAAGTAATTGGTTTCATGGATCATATGATGTCTAGTTTTGATCCCGATAATATTTGGAGGAAGTTCAGATATGAAGTTGTCCCTTACGAGCAACAGTCTAGAATGTTAGTATATCACAAGATTATCTTTTTCACCACATCTAGCATCATATATCTAACAGAACTGTTATTTGTATCTCCGAATTACAATTTTGATTGTGGGCTTTTCGTTCCTTATACATGAAGGCTATAAACAATGGGGCTAATACGATTCAGGTAATAATCTAGGAGACAATTCTGCTATCATCCGTGCTAGGCTTGCAGCCGAACTTCTCGTGGAAGGATGGGAACAGAGACATAACAAGATATTAGAGCACAGGATGGGTGAAAGTGTTATCATTATGTAGTAATTGAATAAGTTAACTATGGGAACAAATATAGTCTTGTATATGTTATTTTACAGCACAGGATGGGTGTAAATGTAGGAATTGAAACTGGTTGACGATGGGAACATAACATTATGTGTATATTAATTGAACAGTCTTCAATGGATGAAAGTTTGAAACTTTTTGTTAAGGTATTTCTGCTGCCAACGGCTAAATGACATGCAAATGTTGAAAGTTAACCTGTTTCAGCATAGGTTAACATATGTTGCTGAAAGTTAACCAATTTTAGCAGAAGTTAACCAGTCTCAGCTAAAGTTAACCAGACTCAGCAAAAGTTAACACGATGCACCGAAAGTTAACCAATTTGAGTAAAATTAACTAGGGCAACCTGAAAGCTAACTACTTTGGATTAGATCAAATAGCACTGAAAGTTGACCACTTTTAGTAAAAGTTTACAAGTCGATCTTCAATAAACTTTCAAAAAACAAGCTTTAATTTTCATACCACAGTGTAAATATTATGAACTGCACATGTTTCAGTTCATTTTCAACTTGCATATCACAATATTTAAGCAAATTAGAACCACACAGAAGCAACATAGAAAGAACGAACAAGTTTTCCATTTTTCAACTTCACGATTCGATTGCTTCAATGATTTCTTCAACTGTTTTGTTTTGGCTACTATCTCATCTTTAACAGGTAATTCTTTGTGAACAGCCATGTTCTCCTTCATTGCATTAGCATTGTGAGCCCAAACAAAAAACTTGCATTGCCTATTTGGAAACTTTGCACATCCCTAGTATTATCTACCTTTGTTGATCCTATTTTTACACTGCTTGAGGGGGGGTTGGAATTTTGCAAAAACAACATACCTCTTCTAGTGCTTGAGAGCCCTCCTCAGTCTTCATCTCACAATCTCGAAATGAGTTTTCAAGGGATGGTAGGAACAAGAGATAATGTTTTACCTGGGCTTTGCATAACATTATATATTGCATATTGGAACTAATAACTAGCCGTTGGAATATGTCTGTTGGAACAATTAATCAGCTAGCCGTTGAACAGTCACCTAGATTTGAGAATCAGCAATCATTTAAACTCAAACTTTAGGGCTAAAGGTATCCACTTCAGCTAAAACTAGCAGTAGTACAGATATAGTTATATGTTAACATGTTCAAGTACAAAATTCAAAACATCTTATTGCCTTGTAGAAGATTACAACTGTCCCACGATATATAATATAAACTTAAATACAACTTATATTTCTCTAGCGCCATTCCTGTTGTAAGAAACATAACACACTAATCACCGATGGGCTGGTTACAAGTTGCTCAGTTGTGCTCCTCAGCTTTGCATCGACCATATTTGACTGGACATTTCAAGATGGTTCTGTTGTTTATGCGTCTTGTTCTATTTCTTCCCCTTCTCTTTGTGGTAATTGGTGGTAAAATCTGGATTTCATCCCTGGGCACACTCCGCTTCTCATAATCTAGTATAGGATATAATATTTCATCGTAGCCTTCTTAAACACTTCTACAGACATGAACCAGTCACAATATTGATATACCTATCTTTTCATATAAATGATGACTGCAAAAGCATACACATAAGGAATACGAGTTACGTCCCAAGTACAGCAAGTGCATGTCCTCTTCGCCAAATCAACGTGAGTGGTTCTATGTGATTGCACTTCGAATATATCACCTCTACATTGCTTAATCTCTAAAGTAGATACCTTTTCTATATGTTCTCTAACAATCTCCTCAGCTTTAGGACAAAGATAGCTTGTCCACTTATTAGCCATTATGCGTCTGTTGTTCATGCGAGTTATAATTTGTCTGCGGATATGCTCCACCAGTTGCAAGATACGAGACAATCGAGCATCACGTATCCAGCTGTTAAAGGATTCTTTAACATTAGAGGTTACATGATCATATCTATAAACATCAAGATAATAAAAAGTATGGTCAGCACCAAATATATATTAAGATTAACACGTAGCCGCAAAACTTAACCTTTAGTAGGGTTAACATAACCACATGAAAGTTAACATATATTGGTAAACGCTAACATATATCAGCGATAGTTAACCTACAGAAGGGAATATTCACATACAAGCTAGATAGTTAATATATATCAGCGATAGTTAACCTACAAAAGGGAAAAATCACTCAGAATGATTGAGTGCAGTATCTAATGCCAGGAAAGAATGCATTTGCCCAATGCTCTGGCGAGTAGTTAATTGCAATCTCATATGTAGCTGGAGACATCTCATATATATCCTTCATGTAGTCATTCCATTCCGCAACAATGTATCTATAGCAAGCTGATTGGAGCAAATTCCCAAAAACTTGTGTGTCCTTTGCCTTCATCCCCAAAGCCTTTAGCTTTGATCTAAAATTTTCAACCAGATGCAGAACACATCTTGAGTAAATTGCTTAAGGGAAATATTCTCTCACCGCTTCTCGAATCCCCTTGTCAGCATCAGAAATAATAACCAATTGATGTGGAGGGTTGTATGGGTCTGGCCTTTCATACAGCATGGACCACAGGCCTTGAAGGAACCATCTCCAATTATCAACATTCTCCTGGTCACATATGCAATATGCAAGTGAAAATATCCCTTGGTCTCTATCATATTCTATGGAGCTCAGGAGCATACCTTTGTACCTGTCTTTCAAAAAGGTCCTATAAAAAAATAATAGAGGTCTACACCCATTTAAGAAACCAACGATACAATCAGCATAACATATAAACAGTCTTCTGAACTTTCCTTCATTCTGGTTAATACAAATGTAGCTTCCTGGATTCGTTTCCTTCACCTTTTGCTCATACCTGTATTACAATGAGACCACATTTCAAATTCATATAATACAATGGAACATAAGGGAAATATATAAACAGATAACTGTAAAATTTACCATCTTAATTGATCGTAAGCCTCATAACTATCACCGTACATAGCCTTTTGCGCTCTTTCTTTGCCCCACCATATCTTACTATATTCAAGTCTCAATCCATATCGAGTGAGGAAGTCCTTTTGCACATCTTTTGGGTGGATTTCAGGTTGAACCTTTAAGACAGGTCACAATTGGGTTGCTATGAATCTGCGAGATGCTCGTGATTGGCCTAACAAGTTAGTATGTTGTCCGCAATTGTATTCATTCACAAACCTTTTGATTTTAACTCTTTTTTCATTTTTAACAGGAGATGCAAACATCATCCAAGGGCATCCATATGTCTCCTTATATCGACAAATAACTCGGATACGTTTAGATTCATTCTTTACAAATTCATAGTCAAACTTTTTTGTCATAGAATAGTATTGCAAAGCTAGTCTCAAATCATTTACAGTTTCAAATTGTTGGCCCTTTTCAGTTAATGATGTGTGCCATTATTCAGGAATGCTCAAAGTGTTATTGAGAATATCATCAGCTCTCATTACAATCACACCAGACGGGCAATAATTTTGGATTCTCTCTGAATTGGAAGCAGTTCCTCGAGGAGGAGGATGACAATATTCTTCATTCAAAGAGACATCATTGTACACAAATTAATAAACCAGTGAGATATCCTGTACATTATAATATAACATTGTCTTCTGATATTTTAAATTAACCATTTTCTATATAAATTAAAAAAGAGCAGTGGAAATTAACAGACAATGTATACTGATATTTTAAATTAACCATTTTCTATATAAATTAAAAAAGAGCAGTGGAAATTAACAGACAATGTATAGTTAACTCGTTACGACGAAAGTTAACATGATAATTAAAAAAGAGCAGTGGAAATTAACAGACAATGTATAGTTAACTCGTTACGACGAAAGTTAACATGATCACACAAAAGTTAACATATTCACGTGAAAGATAACATATCTCGTCAAAACTTAACATGAAAGATGAAGAGTTAAACTATAACCATCAAATATGACAACTATGTTTTTCGACTGCGCATCAAAACCTAAAATAACATTTTTTACATCACACAACCCCAGTTTTTACCAGAGTTCATTGTTTACATATAAATCAATAATAACTTTATGCTTTCTTTAAGAAGTAGGACACTCCATGTTATCAAAAACTTGCATTTGAATCTCCGTACAACCAGTGTAAATATTGTGATCCTACATGCACTTCAAAGAGGAAGAATATAGCATTAACGCCCAAGGACATCATGCACATTAAGTATTTGGTGTCCGTTGGGGGTTGTTGACAGTTATGTGGACAATTATGAGGTGAAATTGATAGGATTTAAAGTGCATAAGGGGTTTTGGAAAGATGAAAGGAAAAAACACTTAAATTGTTCCAACAAAACCTTAAAACGTGAAATGGCTATGCTCACATCACACAAAGCCCAATGTTATAAAGAGTTTATTAATTACTTACATTTCACTAATAACTTTCTGTTTTTTAGAACTGGAACACTCTATATTAACAACAGTTTGCATGTGAATCTTCGTACAACTAACATTTTGATTGTACTCCAACATGCACTTCAAGTCATCTTCATTATCAACTAAAAAACTCAGGTTGGGGTGCCTCTCAGATTTATATATCAAGGATAAAGCTTCTTCAGGTACATTCGGTCTTTCAGCCACATCAAATTTCAGTTCATAAAACCTCGTTGTCGAGCATCGCTTCAAGAATATGGCCTTCTCGCCTAAAGACATTATACAAATCAAGTCGTTGGTGGCCATTGGGGATGGTTGAGAGTTATGGAGACAGTTATAAGGGGTAATTGAGGGGATTTAAAGCTCATAAGGGTTGTTAAAAGTTGAAGGGAAAAAACTCTAACTTCATGAATGGGAGAGTGAGAGTTAAAATTAGACAATTTATTACCCATGATGGAGAAGCGGAGCAGTAATGGAGGGAACCCACCTTTTCCCCCCCGCTTTTCACCGTCTCCTCACCTTAACTACGATGAGAGAGATTAGAGATCAATTAATACCTTGTAGCTGATTTTCTGTGAGAGAGAAGACGACATTTACAGGAGTTTTGTCAAAATACGCAGTGTGTATGTATAAAGGAGGGTTAAAGGGTCTGGGCCACACAACAAACACCATTTTGGGGCTTAAGCCTAAGGGGATTAATTGGTGGGGCTAGGCCACTTCAAGGCCTCTATTTTGGGGCATAGACACAATTTCCCTTCTTTTTATTCTTAGGGCTGTTTGTTTGCCTAAAAAAAGAGGAAAATTAAAGAATATGAAACCTATTTCTAAGAAAAATTATTTTGATATTGTTTGGTTAGCTAAAAAAAGAAGGAAATCAAAGAATGTGAGATGAGATGAGATGAGTTGTCATATTATTATTGGATGATGTGGGTGATTTTTTAAGAAAACTTGTTTTGAGGTTGTTTGGTTGGCTAAAAAAATAAGGAAATGAATTATAAGAAACTTATTTCCTGTAATATGTTCTTTTCTTATGTTTGGTTCATTCTTAAAAATAAGAAAACAGATGAGAGGAGTTGAGTTGCCATTATATTATTGGATGATGTGACCCACACTTAAGGAAATCAATTTCCTTGGTTTTTTAAGGAAATGGATGGAAATGAAATGTTAATGAGATGAGATGAGTTGTCACCATATTATTAGATGATGTGGATGATTTTTAAAGATGAGATGAGATGGAGATGAGATAAGTTGGATGATATTGTAAAACCCCAAAAATTTGAATATTTTATGATAAATATGTCATATGGTGAAGAATAATATATTTTGATGTTTGTATATGATAAAAATTTATTTGAGATCAATTCAATATATATTTGTGAATATATATATGTGCAAATGTGCAAAACACGTACAAAGGCCAAAAGAGAAATCTGAGAATAATGACCAATTATGAGTTTCTATATTTTACGCACTGATGCAGTTAGAATCTTAGAAAGTGTAAAAGACCAAAATTATAGGTATCTTCATCAAATTTCTAACAAATCTTTAATCACCTCATTCTGAGGTCAGATACAAAAGTTACAGCCAAAATACCGAAGAATATGTTTCTAGTCAGACTGGTTTTTCCAGTTTTAGGTTTCGGGTTTTGGGCTGTAGTTTTTCGGGTTTGCTGTCATATATACACATGTTTATATACGAAAACACCTCTTTTCTCCTGTGTTCCAAACCCTAGCAGCTCCTCTCCTCCTCTCTCAAACCCTAGCCCTAAACTTGTGTTCTCGGGGGAGTTTCATAAGGCGAAAAGCAAGGAGAAGGTAGGATTTGTGGCGGCATCGAGGGATCATTCTCACACATTTTTAGGAGTTCATCAACACCCCTTAGGCGAGTTTTATCTCACCCAATCCTACACCCTTGTTTTTAAACGTTTTTAATGATGTTTTCATGTGATTTGTGAGCCTAACTTGCTAGATTATGTATAAAAGTTTGATCATATTATTGTATATTGCAAAGAGAACAAGTTTTCAGTAAATAAAGATCACCCATAAATTTCTTAATGCAGATCTAGATCTAAAAATATTTCTAACAAGAGTTTTAAATGAAATATCCTTGTTTCCATATGTTTCGACATGTTTATACGTATTCATGAATGATTTTGTTTTATCTAAAGTGTTTAGAACCTTTTTCCACATGTTTTAGAAATGCTAAATCATTTATAGAGGATTGGTAGTGTTCGAGATTTACATATGAAAGTTTTTTATATATCAAAACCCATAGAGTAGAAAACCTGCAGAAAGTTTTTTGCACCTGAGCGGTCGACCGCCGGGCACACAGCAGAAGCAGGAAGCTACTATTTTCCTATGCGATCAACTGTGACAGTCGACCACTGGGCGCACAGATGAGCAGAGACCTTCTGCTCACTGCGCGGTCGATCGCAGATAAACAACGGTCGACCGTGAGATCTGTTTGTGCATGTGCACGTTATTTGCGTGTAGTTATGGCTGGCAAAACACCTAGGTTATATGGGTTTGTTATACACTGAGATTAGTGTACATGAGTTGACTACTGTCATGAAATTAGATTTACTAATCGAGGAATAAGAATAAATGTTATATATATTGGTTCTGACATCATTTACATGTTGAAGTCCTCGTGTTGGACTATAAATTATTGAAGTCATCGTGTTAGACTATAAACTATTGAAGTCCTTATTTTGGACTATAATCTATTGAAGTCCTCGTGTTGGACTATAATCTATTGAAGTCCTCGTGTTGGACTATAAGCTATTAAAGTCCTCGTGTTGGACTATAATCCACTACAGCCCTCGTGTTGGATTTTAAGCTATTGTCGTTCATGTATTGGGTCTTTATCTATTACAGCCTGCGAGTCGGGCATATATTTTTGACTTATGCCAGGTTATTGATAGTATGATTGGAGATGGAGTTGTCTTTCATTATTGCTCCACACTGTAGCTTTTGGATTTGGTATATACAGGAGCTGTCTTTTATTATTGCTCCATATTGTAGCCTTTGGATTTGGTATTTAGGGATTTACAAATTTGAGACATATGGTATATACATGAGGGTTTCCTTGTTTGGATTATTTCGCTCGACGTACCATGCTCGTGTTGTAAATTTCTACATATCAAATCTCTATTTATTTTAGAGTAGATGATTGTTTATCTATATATATTAGCAGCTATTTTCTTATCCTTCTAGCCCTTCTCCCTGGGGTTGGTTGAGATGTTACTCGCTATAGCGCTTTGACGCTCGTTGTTTCCCCCTTTCAGGTAACGAGCCAGGTGCACAGAGAGCAGTAGGTTGATGGAGCTACTTTAGTAGTTATTTATCTTATTAGTAGTTATGTCAGAACTCCACAGTGGATGTGTTTATGAACATTTGAGTTATCATTTTAGTTTTGTAAAGGTGATGTGCCTTAATGTCATTTCATTTGAATTCCTATTGTGAGACAGTTGTATCAGTTCAGATGTTTTCTTCTCAGAGATTTATCCATTCATATTAGTGGTGATGATTTTTTTTTCAGAATATCTGTTGTTTAGTATTTCTTTTGTATATTCTCTCTTGCCTGTTTTGTACCTACACCTGTTATTGATTCTACTAGATAGATAGTAATTATAATGGTGAAACGTGTTAATGCACGATGTAGTGCATAACAGGTTTGACATTCTTAGTTTTATCTTGGACTGCAGCCTTGTTGAAACCAGGGGTGTCACAGATGTGACCCATTTCTTGTGTTTGGTTTATTTTTAGGAGATGATATGAGATGAGTTGTGGGATAAAAATAATATTTTATTAGATGCTGTGGTGAGTTTTAGGGATGGAAATGGATGAAAATAATATTTTATTGATTTCCATATACCCTTTATTTTCTTGATTTTTAGGAAATCAACCAAACAGCCCCTTTTAGAGCCTATCTTCTTCTTTTTTTTAATTTCCTTCATGCTATCATCATCTTTCTCTCTCTCTCTCTCTCTCTCTCTCATCCAAAGAAAATCTGCAAGGGTATTCAACACAAACAGAGACATTGAGATCCTCCATTGTGCCACTTCGCAACCTTGGAAAATAATCTAGGCTAGTGAAGAATTAGAAAACGGGACAAAATAGAAATTGATTTCTTTACCTTACATTCTGATAGATTAGGAAATTCTAAGAGGAAGGTTAGTTATGAAATTGGAAGAAAAATTTTATCTTGTCTTAGATATAATTGGAATTGTTATTACTCATAGCGTTGTACATATATTATGAGTGTGAATCAAGAGAAATACATTCAATAAAGAATAAGAAAATGACTCTTATCTATTGGCATTCTCTCAACAATAAGAGAATGACTGTCGACATCATCATGAGTTCAGGGCCAGCCCTGATATTCTTAATTTTTCATAGGGCCTTAATCAAGCTTTCAAATGAGGGGCCTCTATATACAATATTTTCATACACAAATTTTTTTATAAGATAGCAAAATATCTTTTATTAAAATGAGACAATAAGCACATAATCGTATTAATATTAAAATCAAAAAACTTCTTGATGCTTTATAAATAACATAATTCATACTACATTAAATGGGATCGCCTTGCATTTTGAGCTGCAAAATTATCAATTAAAATGTTCCAATCAAGCTTCTCCAATAAATTTTTTTCTATAGATATCATAGCCAATCCATTCAATCTCTCTTGTGACATTGTTGATCGTAGATAAGATTCAAAGGTTTTACATGGATGTCTCTTCTCTATATTGTGCTCCTTGTATTGTCATCTTTGATATATCTACTTATACCCTTACTTTTTATTTTGACGTCTACTAGAGCGATATTAATGTGATGGTGAAATATATTTATGCACAGTGTTGGATGCATGGCAGGTTTGACATCTTTATATTCACCTTGGACTGCAGCCTTGGTGAAAACAGGGGCATCACATAATAGCTAACCTCCTTATGTGTACATACCCCTAACATAGGAGATCAATTACCTAAGTCTAGGAGCAGGTTACTCAACCTGTCTATATGTAGAAAGAATTAATAAATAGAAACCTATCAATCATCAAACATTTAGCACCATTCATCTTGTAAAGATAGCTATAAAGTCATTCAAATTATCTACAAATATATTCATTAATTTATAGCAATGTGCTCAGTTATTTGAGTGGAAAAACACTCCATAATACAATGTAGGTATTTCATAGGACTACTCCCATAGTACTAAATAATTAAATATTCCTTTGAGTCACATTTCTTGTAATGATATTACAATTTCTCATCAAATTTTAAGTGTCGAGTCTCTTCAAACAT